TCTCGTTTGTTGGGTCCCCGACAGCTCTTCTCTCGTCATTTCTCACCAGCGTTAATTATCATGCTGACGGCAGAAGGCCATGAGGCCATGGCATGTCTCAGCTCCTTGCGAGAACACGACGGTCCCCAATGGTACCCAACCCTCTGGTACCCAATCCCATGGGACAATACAGAATTCACCGCCTGGTCGGCCGCCACCGGCCTTCATGCATGGAGGAGGCGCCGGACGGCCAATGTAAAGGAATGGGATGGGGAAACTATGATGCTGTTGCATGTCTGCTGCAACCTCGCTATGATGAGAGTTTGCAAGGAATACTGTAATCGGCCAGGCCTAAGTAGACTGTGGCAAAAACAAAATCTCTCGATGATGGGAGAACATAACGCTGAAAATTTAAATTCAAATACCAACTTTGGAGTTATGTCATAGCAAGCACCAGCGCCAAGATTTCCAGCAATTCTTCCGTCAGCATTTCTAGATTTGTGAGAACAGGCGTCCATAACGGTCGATCGACTGGAGGCTAGTGGTAATCTTCCCCTTGGTAAAATGATTGATCTTCTCGTATGCCCTCTTGGTACCGAATGGCAGGGATCTGCGCTCAAGGGGTTTTAGGTAAATTGATGTCTACCAATAGAATGGGTACCGAAATCACTTACTTGGTACTTGATAATATGTATAGGCTGTATAATGATAGCAACCCTTTCATTGCTGATTTTCTAGAACCACTCCTGATTATGCATCGCAGATCAAGTAATCGTTCTGAATATGTGTTGTATAACTCTCGGCCGCTAAGTTATTGGCGGGTATCTATGAGTTGATCCTCATCCTAGGTATGATCAGGCTTCTTCCTTGCATAGTGGGCTTTTTCAGAAAAAATATCCGGCTTCATGTAAAGAGAGTCAGGCACACGGGCCTTTCCGACTGTGGGATATCAGGGGACCGATATCCAACGGTCTGTTCACCGGTATTAACGAACGGCCGCCTCTATTTCTCCCTTTTTTTTTTTTTTTTTTTTTTTTTTTTGGTGTAACGTTTGATCTTGTGGTCCGCTTTCGCCCACCCTCCCTGAACGAAAAAAAGACATGTCAGAGACGAAGACGGTTAAGGACTGCGTTGGGCGACGCCGTTTCCATTGAGAAGGTTGGCAGACTGCATCAATTCTTGCAAGGTATTTCTTTGTTGTTCCCTGGTCCAGCTGTGCCCTTGCTTCTAGTACGTCAAGTTACCTGACTCTATCACCTGTGATATCAGACCATAAACTGGACTGTGACCTTCAAATGTGCCGATTGAGTATTTGAAGAATCCCCTCTTTTTTCCCCTCGGGTCCTTTTTGTGTGAGGCGCTGGTGAGCAGCTTTGGCGCCGGGGGTATGGGTACGCAATATCAAAACGGGTCATCCCTTCACTGTGTTCATGCACTCCATGGCACTGTAAACCGGTGCAAGGGTTATGAATCGGGCTCCGCAACAGGCCGCCGAGATGGATGGTATGTGGTGGTGAAGAAGCGAAGAAGCCCTTGTACGTATGCATCTACCTACATTTGCCCTTGTGCTGGAGGCGACGACCAATGCAGCCAACTGATGCAGCCATCCATTATAGGAAACATGCGCATGATGCAGAGGAACAAAGCCAGCATATGCAGCATCTGCAACGGTCCTTGGGAGGCAATGCATTGTGCGAGTGTTGAAGACGGACTTTTTCCTCAACCCGAGATCCTCAACATGCGCCACGGAGCCCTTGACTGGTTCGCCCACCATTCATGGCGGACCAGCTACTAAATCAGTCGATAGTATGGTTGTGTCCCTAAAACAGAGTAGCAGGAGGTTGTGGAGAGAAGTAGCCGGAATTTGGGTTAGGGATTGCGAAGGTTGGCGCTTCTTGTCCCTGGCACTGAGGTAATGGGGGGCTTTAGACTGCCTGGGCGGAAAAAATGCGCGTCCGCCACTGACTGATAACCCGCATGCTGCCCTCCCACGCCCTATTGGTCAGCCCAGCTACCTACCTGCCTGGGAAGGCATGTGCAATGCTACCTCACCCACTGATAGGTAAGGTACTGGTCTCAGGACGTGCCGCCCAAGTCTGCATTACGTAGTTGGGTGTGTGTACCGTGTAGGAAGGTCCTGCTGGCAGAGAGAGCTGGTGAGGCTGGTTCTCCATGGCAGCAAGGCAGTAGGTAACCCCCGAACTCCTGGGGGCAGGCAAGCAGGGAGGTCGGGCGATATTGCTTGGGTCCACTGGGCCATCTAACCACTGCTGGGGGACGGAGCGCCGCCGCTGCTAAGGTTATCTTAGGTAAGTAGGTAGGCAGGTAGGCATGAAATGGATTGAGTCGGTGCCGAGGGGGGAGAAGCTAGCATTTCTCGAGGGCGGGTATGTATTAGTCTGAGTCGAAGGTATTTTGGTACATGGTGCAAGTTCGAGACAGGGTTCTTTCCCAGCTCCCTGGGCCTGCGGGACCAGCTGTCGGCGGGACCTCCAAGCGGCCCTCCAGGGACCCAATGGCAACGCTCTGGTCCGGAACCATGGCGCTCAGGTCCACCACTCCAGCTCGAGTGGCTCGCTAAAGGGGGCGTGATGATATTGACCAGGCGGCCCACCAAATCCCGCCTGAGTGGATGGGTTGAACTGTCCGACCATCACTAGCACATGCCTGCATGCTCACCTTTCCGCATCAAGCAGCCCACTCCTCCATCTCGGATTCCCCCCAAGCCCAGGGCCGGCCGCTGTTACCGTTCTCTGGGTGCTGCTAGGCCTCTTATTACACCCTGATCGCCACCTTGATCGAGGTCCGTCGTCTTTGCGGAGCTGCATTTCTTCAGCCAACAATTGCACCGCTCTGTCGGGTTGTTTTGAGGTCCACGACTGCGTTCGCCTCGACTACCCATTCCTGCTGTGTACATTGTAATCGCCGTCGCTCAGTTTTAAAATCGTTGGTCGCCTGTTTCATCGCCCTTCACTGGCGAGCGCGGCTAAATCGTCTTGACGTCGAATCGATTCAAGAGTAGCTGAGCTTTTCGCCTTCGTACTCCTATTCCTTGGATACAGCATTCTACCCATCTTGGTTGCGCACATATGTCGTACTGTTAAGTTCTAGCAACTCTCGAATTTTCGTCACTGCCATGTCGTCCAAGCCTCAAGGAGAGGGGCGTACACCCCTCAAGGAAGAGAAGAAGGAGAAGAGTTTCACCAAACTCCTGACCAGGGCGAGGACTATCCTGAAGAGAGAAGGTTCCTCGAAGCGCGGATCGGGATCGGGGTCGGGATTGGGAGAGACGGAGGCGCCCAAGGAGCCACCCAAGGCAGCGTATGTATTTCCCCTCTACCAACTGTCTGCGCTTTCTCTTATGTCGCAAGAGACTCCCCATGCTGGCTTGAGTAAGCCGGAGAAACCCAAAGCAATTCTAATAATGGAACAGGGCGCCTCCCCCATTGACGAGCGCGCAGGCAGCCAGGGCAAGATATGAAGGCCTGCAAGGAGTCTCCAGACAGTCCAAAGCCGCACTATTTGAGGAAAGGGCAAAGAAGCTTGGGGAACGATATGGGCTTGAAATCAAGACTACCGATTGGAAGACCATCACCATCGACCCTACCGACGACACTGTTTTGCGCGTCAATAAGCCGATCCGAATGCGAGTTCGCCGTACCTGCCACAGGTGTGAGGCGAACTTCACGACCTCCAAGGAGTGCCCTAGCTGCCAGCACACCCGCTGCGTCAAATGTGCACGCTACCCGCCCAGGCGCACGGAGGAGGAGAAGATTGCCAGCCGCGAGCGAAGGGCAGAGCTCATCAGGACCCAGAAAGAAAATGCTCCCCTCATTGTTGATTATCGCATTGATCAGAAACCTGTGGTTCTCAAGAAACCTAGCAGGACTGGTGGTCAAGACCTGATCTATAAGAAACCTCGTCAGCGTGTTAGGAGAAACTGCCACGAGTGTGCGAGGCTGTTCCCTCCCGGATCAAAGACGTGCGAAGGCTGCGGTCATATCCGCTGCACGGACTGTCCGCGAGACCCGTATGTGTTCCCCCGCACATTTTATCTATCCTTCTCATTCAAGCTCACTACTAACACTCTGCTCATTAGGCCTAAGAAAGACAAATATCCACTTGGCTACCCTGGCGATGAATTCGGACCCAGCAGTGTACCTCACTTTGAGTGTCACTCGTGCAAAGCTCTTTATCCCCCTGGTTCCGAAAACGGGACAAAATGTAAGAGTTGTGGCCAAGAGAAGACACCGGCCTCTGTTCGCGCTCGGCCTCGAAAGGTGGAACCAGAAATTGGACTCGACCCCGACATACTTGAAAAGATCGAGGCTAGACTTCAGGCTTTGAGGGTTTCTTAATATGGGACCTAGGGCCTGTAGATGTTGTAGAGGAGAGGATAGAGCGTTCTATTTGTTGCGTTTGAGTTGTTTCCGCATCACTGATTACCATTTTCATGATCTTTTGCATCACGAAAGCGAGCCATTCAATCGACATGCGACAGAGTTGGGGGTTGAGGTTGGTTTTAGTTGTTCACTTCATTTCTGCTACATAACGAGAAATGTCACTTATATCACGATTGGTTTGAAAATGAGGGTGTCTAGGTGGTAGGCTACAGCAGCCGTGGATCAAGATAGAAGGATCTGCAGCCATCAATTTGCTTACGAACAGATGGGAGCCAGCTGCTCGGCCCCCCGAGAACCCCTGACAGGTTGCCCTTCATTGCAGCGAAGAATTGGATAAACACCATTTTGGCTGGAGCATTGTGTGCCATTCCCGTGACTAAATAAATGATCCCTATTCTATTGCTACACTGATAAAGATAATGCTTGAAAACCCCTCCAAATACATTGGGATAGCACTGCCCATCTCTAGATTCGACATGGATCGGTTTATCCCTATATCTATTAAATCCCATTTTACCCCGGGGACCACGCTGCTGAATTCAGACCTGGGAATTGTCAAACGGAGAGAGGCTGTTGAGCAACTCCCATTGGAAAGATGAAAGATGGACGGGCTTGGCCCTAAGCCTCTTCCTTCACATGAGGCTCCACGGCTAGCCGCGTGCCGTGCACCCCTGATATCGAGGACCCAAGTGTATCCAGTCTGTTGCGTTTCCTTCCAATATAACGGCCCATGCCGTCCATCCGATTGTTGAGCTGTGGCATCTGCTCGTCCGCCTGGCCCTGCTGGACCGCTTGTTGGAACCCAGCGGGGTTGAGGATGGGCATCAGGCGATAGGTGGGGTAGAAGCGGCCGCGGATGGACTGCTCCTTGAGGGCGGCATTTTCCTTGACGAGCACCCAGCGCCAGCGGGAGTTCGGGCCAGTCTGCTGGCGCCACGCGAGCTCGTCTCTCAGCGGAACGGGCAGCTGCTCCTCCGGGACGGCGTTTGTAAGTTGCGAGTCCCCCTTTACGAGTATGTAGATATGGCCGCGGAAGACAACAGCGCCGGGATAGTCCCGGTTGGTTAGGATCTGGCGCAGGCCCAAGACGGCCGTGTCGGTCGTGATATTCCACTCGGCAGGCAGGGCCTTTAGTCGCAGGGCATCTCCAATCTCGATGCGTTCGGCCCCGAAGAAGCAACCGTAGTACACTGGGGTCTTGGTTGAGGGATCTTCCGATATAGGCGACCAGAGTGAGAAGGAGTAGTCTATTTTTGACGCGGCCATCTTTGAAGCATCGAGAATCAGTAGATCCCGCCTGTTTGCATCATTCTGGTAGGCAGCAAACATGGCTTCCCAGGGAATGTCATCATAGTTCTTGCTCTTAAGATCCTGAATTGTGACGCCTGGTACACTGAATGCGTGGAATGGGCGCATGTCGTTTGCGGTTTTGAAGACATTTTGCTGAGCGACCAGCCTATGGCCGATGGCTAGAAGTTCGAAGCCGTGAGTGGTATTGAAGGCTCCAATAATTCCCAGACGCCAAGTTTGCCCGTTCTGATACCAGACGAGCTCACCAACACGGAATAATAGCGATGACTTCAGAGGCCAGACCATAGGTGAGGGCTGGGCCTGAGGTTGCTGCTGGACCTGAGTTGGTTGGGCCTGGGGTTGTGGGATCGGGGGTGGGTGAACCGGTGTTTGCTTGATTTGGTGCTGCTGAACCTGAGGCGGGTGGACTTGAGATTGAGATGGCTGGACCTGGGGTGCTGGTTGTGTCACCTGTGGCGGTATAGAAGCCATAGGCAGTTGGGGAGGTGGGACTGGCGTTGCAGTCGGGGGTGTGATGACAGACGGAGTAGGAATAGAAGGTGGTTGGATGTGTGTGGCTTGTGGTCTTTGCGCCGGTGACGCTGACTTTGTTGCTATTGGTTGACCAACTACTGTTGGGACAGGAATTGGGGTGACTTTATGAGGAATATGCTCTTGTTTAATGGGCGATTCGTTAGGCATGTGAGCGAAACCCTCCTCAGATGTAGGAACCTGCTTCGGGAGGCTAGGAACGTTGCAATGAACACAGCAACAGTCCTTATAATCCATTGACGCCGACAGCAGCCATATCAAATGCAGCGCAAACTCTTGCGGCGTCTTGAATAGCTTCGTCTTGATTGGGTATCCGGAAACCCAAAGATGTTTCGACTTTTCATAGAGCCAGTATCCCTTGGGGAATGGCACATACCAGGAGACACCATCTGGAAGGAATAAATCAACAATTGAAACTACCTGAGCGCCTAAGGGGAGACGTACCATCTGGACTCTGGGATAACTCTTGCTTGAGGAGAATCCCCAACTTCACTCTCCATTCTGTGAATCTTGGATCATCCTCAGCAAGTCTCGTCATCTGTGGTTTTGCTCTGGGTGCTTTGTCTGCTGTTGTTTTCTTTATCGAATTCGCTGCTGGTGTGGTAACTGGCCAATATCCGGGGCCACTGTCCGCCCCATCGGATCGACAGACGCGGATAACGTCAAAGTCTTTAGTATCAGTCATGGCTTCGACAGATGGGAAACCCTGGTTTAATTAAGATTAAAATATGCCTCCGAGTATGCGACCAAATGCATGTCAAGCGACGCTTGCATTTGTTGTCTCGATTGCCAATGGATCAGTTCAGATGACGTTCTTGTCTCGCTGGACAGTAGGCAAGTGGTGAAAATGATAGGTGGAGATCTGAACAGGTCACTGGTTGGGCAAGGGCAACCTATTGAGGTATCGAGAAAGCCTCCTCTTTCCTTTATAGAGAAAGAAAGACGCATTCATATATCACCATGCAGCTTGAAGCCCACAGACCTGTTTAGCTCCGACCCGGGGCCATGCGGAAGCTTGCATTGCCTTGTAGGTAGTTTCAAGGGGAAAAGTGCTTTGTCTGGGAACGCGATATCACGAGATGAGTCAGCATTTGCTGTGTGGGGTTCCAAGTTAGCTCAACTCATTAACGCGAGAACTACCTAGACGCGCTCGCGATCCTGCGAAAATATCTACAGGTGGCAGAATAATTTTGCGAACGAATTACTTTCTATGCGAAAGACCCGAAATGGAGGCACTTCTCAGTTCGGGATACAACAATGGCAATCGAGCCTTCCTGCAAGCCCTTATGGCTCGAGGAGCCTTGACCTTTGACGAAGCATGCCCAATCATCGCGGGAATCTGGGAAGCAGAGGGACGGGAAGGGCGGCATGAAGTCACCGAGGAAGATTTTACGCGTTACCTTTCGAAAGCATCTGAAGCTGCTTCAATATACGATTATGAAATCCGCACCACCATTCATCAAGTCACCAGAGACCGAATCTATGCTTTTGTCAACACACGATCCGACCCCCAGACCCAGCTCGCTACGACCTTTGCTCCCGAAGAGCTCTCATTCATCAAGCGCCTGTTTGATGCAATCTTCGAAACATACAATTCACCACGAATGGAAATCATGGCGATCACACAGATGCAGGCGATGAAGGTCGCCCGGCCGCCAAATCGGAATCAGATCTCGGACGATGCACCAGAGGCCACACAGACATCAGTCGACAAAGGATTGAAACATAGCGAGGTCGAGACGACTCTCTCCAATCTTGTCCTTGGGGGGTGGCTGGAGCGAAGCACGGAAGGATTTTACAGCCTCACCCCTCGTGGTTTACTGGAACTGCGACCTTGGCTGATCGAAACATACAACGACGACGGCGGCGATTGGCAGCGAATCAAATTCTGTGAGGCATGTAAGGAATTACTCACAGTTGGGTTTCGATGCAACGAGCCGAGCTGTCTGTTGCGGCTACATGAGCATTGTGGAGACAATTTCTGGCGAATCCACGGTGGTCAAGCATGTCCCAAGTGTTCCACGCCGTTTGATGGGACAAGATATGTTGGCGAGCGGGCGGTGACACAGACCGATTCTTATGCTCGAGGGCGGCGGCGGCCCGCGAAAAGCTCACAGGGCCGACGAAGCTCGGCTATGAACCACGCAGACGAGGAGGAGGATGAATAAAACTTGCAGCCTGGTGGCGTTTTCTTTTGAACCAGGAGGCTAAGATACCCAAGATTAAGGCATCAAAATAATATAATGAGTCATGAAGGCACGACCAATAGATGATACCGCATTATCCTGGATTGTCTAGCTGTTTCACCAGGTGTGTTCACGTGCATACTGTATGGGCATCATCGCTTCTGCGTAAAACGGCTGGATGGAGTGTGGGCGTCTGGTGGGATTGGATGGTGGCTGAATGACATCACCTCGGGTGGCGGTGCAGCGAGCGCGGCGCTTGCTGGTCCCAAAGCACATGATTTGCCATCTGTGCTTCTGGCTTGCGCAAGGGGATTGATAGTGCGTGCTCAGTATAACTACCCAGGAAGCGGAGCTCGCCTTGGCTTTCGGTGAAGCATTATCTCTCTTTGTTTTCTTTTCTTTTTACACTTGCTCCGACGTGGTGTATCGATTCACCTCACTCAAACCGTGCCCGAGATGTTGGAGTACTTCGCATTTAAAAAGATCAAGAAGGTCAGGGAGGAGAAGAAGGCCCAACATGGTCAAGAAAGCGGCCCAGGTGGGGCCGGCCAGCAGAAGGGATCCCATGCTCCAGAAGCATCTGGGAGCTCTCACTCCCAGCCAGCTCCCGGGGCCCCGATTCTTGACCGTTCCGACGAAGCATTCCTGCAAAGCTTATTGTCTGACGATGGGTCCGAAGATGGCCCTGCGCCCCCTCTGCCACCTCGGGTTCCCGTTCCTGAGATTGACTGGCCATCGGATGACGCATCGTCAATGAGCAGGGACAGGGCAAGCCAAGACGGCCAGAACGGCAAGGGGAAATCTGTTGAGGAGGAGAAGAAGCCAAACCGCCTATCCCGCCTATTCTCAAAGCGGTCAAAGCACGGTTCCCATCTGAAGCCTGAGGATGCCGCATTATCGGCAGAAGGGGAGTTACAGAAAGAGAAGCGTGACCTGAACAATGTTCTCGACCGTCTGAACCTGTCAGCAAAGAACAATAAGGTCATCAACCTCTCCAATGACTCCGAGGAGCTCCTGGCCAAATTCACACAGGTCTTCAAAGATCTCGCGAATGGCGTGCCAACTGCCTACGACGACCTCGTCAAACTCTTCACCGACCGTGACGGCACCATCTCAAAGTGCTTCGACAAACTGCCCTCCGGGCTCCAGAAGCTTGTGATGCAGTTGCCTGAAAAAGTCACAGGCAGCATTGCGCCAGAGCTCCTGGCCGCAGCGGCCAAGAGCCAGGGGCTTGAAGCTTCCATGGAAGGCGGTATCAAAGAGGCTGCACATAAGCTCTTCGTGCCGCAGAACCTCTTGGAACTTGTCACGAAGCCAGGTGCATTGGTTAGCATGCTCAGGGCCATTGTATCAACCTTACAGACGCGTTGGCCGGCCTTCATCGGTGTCAATGTGATTTGGAGTGTCGCCTTGTTTTGTAAGTTCCCTCCCTTGGATTATTATACTCTGGGTGAAGCTAACAGCATGACAGTACTGATGTTCGTTCTGTGGTATTGCTACAAGCGTGGCAAGGAAGTCCGCCTGGAGAAGGAGAAGGAGGCCCAGGGAGTTGTTGATGGTGCAGACCGTATCGAGGAGCTTCCAGACGACCCCCAGCTTCCAGCACCAGCAACTGGAACCGAGCCTCTGGCCGCAGACTCCGCAATCGGGTCAGGGACCAGAACAGCTGAGGCCTCGCGGCCAAATGGCACATCCCATGCTTAGGGGGATACAAAATCACAGTGAGGCCAACGCCTTCAAATATTGATGAAAGTTACGTATTGATGAGGGTTATCTTGAAATAATGTCTGATATATAGCACACCCTTTCCCCTCTTCCCGTTTTTGAACCATAGCCTTGAGGGGCCTTTTGGGATGTGATTTTCTCCAGAGTTATGACCAATCAAAGAAGTTTCGATTTTGTTCTGGAGTCTGGCAGAGAGTGTTCATAGAATTTGATTGTTTGTCTTCGGATGAAAACTACTGGAATTAGTTTGATATTATTTTGTTCCTTCTTCTCTTAGGGGTATCTTGAGCTCGGCCGAGGTCTAGTCTTCCATCTTAATCTTCTTGAACCAATTCCTTAATCTCGGTTCCTCGGCCCCTCTTGGTTTTGTAGTTCCTCTCGTCATCCGAAGACTCGTCTGGAGAATCCAGCATGTCCTGCATCCACACATCCACCTCATCGATAATATCCAACACCACGTCCTCCGCAATCTGGTCCCGGTACCGCTCAGAGACCGCATGCATTGTTTCAACCCGTGTCGGAGTAGGGGCGGCGGCGTCCGCATTCTCCGTGCTTGGGGATGGATAGTCTGGAGGAGGGTACCAGAAATCAGGTCCGAAGTTGACCTCGGCCGCACCACCTCTAAAGATGCTTATAGCTGGGTAGTATCCCAGCATGCCGTCATCAAATCCTTCTCTTGCGCCAACCTGGGGCATCAAAGGCTTTGACGCTGGTGGTAGGAAGCCGAGGAGATCTTCGAATGGAGTACCCATCAATACACCATTCTTGTAAATTTTGATTGAGGAATTTGGCAGTGTGCGTAGAGTTGGCGTCCTATGAAGAGGGTTTGGCAGCTCAGATGTTGACGAACTAGACCCGACTGGGGAGGGGTTCATGAGATCTTCGAGCTCCTTGGTCGGGTGGTACTCGATCTTTTCAAAGTATGTATGTGCCTTGAATCGAATTGGAACTCGGTCTCGGACGATATTCGCTGCTTCAGCAGTTATGGGCATATCCTGGGCCTCTTCGATAAGATCTATGGCAGGATTATATGTACCAGCCATAACCTTCCGATGTAGTTTCTCGGATGGCAAACGTATCTCAAGCCCGATAACGTCGCCTTCCTGTATGGTTTCGCCGGGAGGGAAGAAGGGCTTGGGCCGCGACATAAACACCTTCTCCCCGGCGACATCGCGAATGCCGTAGCTATAAGCATCAAACCCCACGGGGGCATCGAGAGACGCTTCTCGTCGGGCCCAGCCCATCCGAACATGCCGCCCACCTTCCGGCTTTGAGCCGTCATCATTCGCCTTGCGGATTCCTTGCGTAATCTTGCACTCCCAGTACGACCTTCCTTCTCGAGCCGCAACATTCCCTCGTACCATGCGGAAGCCTTTGTCTGTCGTGACGTGTCGCGCCGATTTATCAAAAAAGACGTGGCCAGCAGCATCTTCATAACTCATACGAGCCCCAAAAGGTTCGACTTCAGTCTGGCGATAATATACCGTTGACGGGAACAGAGGGTCGGCAATGCAATGGGTATAGCGGAAATTCTTCTTGTTGAAGACACTTTGGCCGGTCAGTAATCGCGCATGTCCACCGGAACTCCGAGAAGACGAGTTTCGGGTCTGCCTTACTGGTCTGCAGTCTCGAAAAACTGTATAGTCTCGCCATTGGAAGTTTCGACTTCATGATGATAGGCCAACACGCGCGCACGAGGCGCTTCAAAATCGGATGTCTTGGGTGGCGCAAGTTTGTACCGAAGGGGGCCTCCTTCGGCGTGCTGCTGCTCCTTGGGACGTTTCGGATCGGGTGTCGCACGGTCTCCATCACCACCCTTGGCTTCTCGCTTCTTGAGGGTGTCTTTCTTCGCTCTGACCGACTTGGCGCGACTCGACGGCGGCGCGTCGTCGGTCAAATGAGATTCGGTCGGGTTCACATCGGGGTTGAGGGGCGAGGGCACAGCAGGGCTGTGGCCTTCATCGAGAAGCCGCTTCTGGGGAAATGAAGAGAGTGAGGTGGTCGGAGTAGGCTCACGCTTGGGGCTCTCAGATCCAGTCGTCATGTTGGAAAGCATCAGAGCGTTGGTTCTCGATGTTGTCACCGACCGTTGAAATCTGGACCAGGGACCGATTGCTTAGGTAAGTTCTAGATTCTAGATCAACGTCAACGGAAGGAGACTAGTGCACATGGTAAGAGTGGAACTAGAGTGGGTCGGCCAATCGGAGACTTGCAATTGTAAGCATTGGCATGCCATTCCATTGCCAGACCGCGTCGGTCCTCCGAGCCTGCTCCGTTGGGATGTTGAATACTTGAATCTGTGATCCCGGACGCAGGTAAAGTGTGATTGGATTTTTTAGAAGTTGGTGTTAGCCAGGGAATATTTTGGCCATTGCATTGGGCTGAGCCGTTTCGCCCTTGTTTGCAACACATTGGCTTATCTGCAGGGCTGGACGATCCCAGTTGATTCCCCTCTTCCTTTCGTAAGTGTGACATTCCGTTAGGCACAAGACCTCCTGAGTGGCGTTGGCTTGGCTTTGGGTACCTGGATGCTACACATCGAAACGAAGGGCTTCTCTTGATCGGATGTGGCGATCGGAGTAGATCTACGACTTTGGATGGCTCCCAGGGGCGTTACGCCATCGCCTTGTTTCGAAGTCAGCTGACAATTCAAGTACCAGACGGCTTCCGATATCTCCTTCCACGTGTTTTGCGACCACGAGGCCAGCTTCTAGGGTTTAATTACGACCACCCAACAAGTAATATTGTTCAACCCGGTGCTTGCCAATCCCAGCCGACTTGGATAACTGCCCGGACCGAGTGCGCCAGGCTCACTTGCTGGCTGTGCAGGTTGATGTCCTCCCTACTGCCTGGAACTCTGTCTGCCGCTGCCTGCGCCACTACTCCCGGAAACCTTGCCTCCAACATAGCAAACTCTTTCTCAAACACCCTGCATCTAAGCCGACCCGCCATGGGCGACAACAACCATCATCACCCGAGGAACCCTCTGAACCAACATAGAGAGCCAGGGGCTATCCGGACCGCTCTGCCATCTCGACCGATGTCGTCAACCCCGACGCTTCATTTCGTGGGCGGCCCCTCCGATCGTACGAACCAAGCGAAATCTACCAGTGTCTCGCCTTCGTCTCAAGACGTTTCGATGCTTGATGTCTCCTCGTTCCAATCGCATAGTCCGAATACACCGCCTGCAACCCTTGCTCCCAAAGCAAGCCCTCCCGCGGTGTCCAGCTCTCATGGCGGTCAAGTCTGCAGGTCAG